GAGATAAAAATCAAAAGTTGGGAGGCAGCTGTCATTTTTTTCCCCTCAAATTGACAATTTTTTATGAGTTTTATAAACAGACAGTACAGAAAGTCATGAAACAATGAGTAAGAGGTCATGCGGACCAAAACCAAGTATACATTGTTTAGCAAGCAACAGTGCACCATTAAACCCACTGCAGTGTCGGGCCCCCAACAAGCGGAAATACATGCAACCCTCATGGAATGTAATTACCCTGGCTAACAGGCAGTACCACTCATGTAAAGAAAAAATAACAAAATAGACAATTAAAATCGGAGGTATACATCCATTTCCCGCACCATACCTATGGTCAGCAGTATAACAGGTCAGAGGTGGAATGCAATACTGTAATCCTGAAAAGAGCTCGATCTGGTGTTACGCATGAACCAGGCTCGCTGGCCTAGAGAACAAACAAAAAGCGGTGGCCAGGACAGTACCCTGGAAAAGAAAAAAAAACAGAACAGGAAGAAGGGCAGCTGTCATTTTTAAAGAGCATTGGCTACGGAGCTCCTGGGATTTGTGCATTTCTGTTTTAATTCGGATTTGTTTTATATACATACATATTAGGGATGCACAGATACAATTTTTCCAGACCAAGTACTGATACTTGCCCAAGTCCTCACAGATACAAGTACGGATACATTTTTGTTTATTGTCATGTGACAGTTTTTCTAAAACAATACAGACTAATGATTTCAGGACAGTGGTGGAGCTCCAGAGCCAGGTCCCACCTGCAACCGCTGCAACCCTGGTAGTTCTCATGAAAATGCCGATTAATCGCACTGGTATCTGAACTGGTATCTGTGCATCCCTACTAGATGGGATTCTCTGATTTGTGAATTAACAGCAGTCGGGTTTTATATAGTTATTCCCTAATAATCCCACCAGCACCATAGACTCTGAAGTCACACTACACCACTTTCCAAATTCCACATTTAGAAAACGAATGCTTTGACTTCAAATCAATCCTTGCGCAGGGAATTTAAAGGTGTAGTAATTACCATATGAACCAGTATATACAAAACATGAAATATGCTCATTTTATTTCATACAATTTAAGAGTACATCGTATAAACCAACATTAATAATACTGCCCCGGTAGGTATAAATTAGTACAATTACACCAGCGCCAAATCAACCAGGTCTAAGGTCCACAGTGTCATCACAAATGATCTGGTCATATGAAATGTAGATTTCCAATGATGCTGGAGAGTTGGAGTGGTGCTATACCACAAGGATAGGCAGTGACGCGTTTCGCAGAGTAGAATCTGCATCATCAAACTGTATTGCACTTGGTAATTTGTAAGTGTATCTGAGAGCACAGTATCCTCTAGCTACACCTTCAGGTCCACAGCCAGGTATTAAATACCATCTGACTCGGGGACAATGGGGGATGCCAAGAGGCCTTCAGATAATCTTGGAACTGGTATCCATATTGCCTAAAGCTAACAAGCAACGGAGCCTATGGTCAGGACAAAAGGGGCCTGATGCCTGGCTGTGGATGGAAGGTGTAGATGGAGGATACTGTGCTCCTGGATAGATTTACAAATTACCAAGCACAATATAGTCCGATTGCATGAAATAAAATTGACATATTTTATTGTTTTGTATATATTGGTTCATATGGTAGTTACTACACCTTGAAATTCCCTGCACAAGGGTTGCATTATAGTCACAGCATTTGTTTTCTTTTTTATAGCTAAAATGTAATGTAGAAAGTCAAGTTGAAGCGGAACTCCCCTTTCATTTTATTTTTTATTTTTAAGCCCCAGCTGTTCCTACCCTCTCCATGCTCCATTTCGTTCCTCAGCTTCCTTCTCCATCCAGTGCCGGCATTCCCCTTCTTCAGAACAATACTCATGTCCTTCTGTCCATTTCCTGTGAGCCCAGCCTGTCGTTCACACAACCCCTGGGGGTGAGTCATCACTCAGGCTGGGCTCACAGTACCCCAGAACTGAATGGCGCTCACCCCTTTTTACATGAGAGCCGTTCAGTCCAAGAGGAATGCTTGCTTCCCAACCATTGCTGAAGAAGAAGAAGAGGAAGGTCTAGTGACGTCACTACCTGGATAGAAGAATGAAGAAAAACTGTCTATAGAAGTTTTTTATTAAAAAGAACTGGGGGGGGTGCGGGGCTTTGGGCGGTGGAGTGCTGGCATGGTTTAATTCTTAGCTGGAGTTCTGCTTTAAATTTTATATCTAGGCAAAAACCTTTTTAAGGCTTATTCACAAGTGTGTGCTCGTTAATGTGCGCATAACACATCCACCCTGGTGTGCATTCTGAACCTGTGCTGTCATGTGTTGCAATGCATTGGTAAAATGTGTGCAAAAATGCAACATATTCTAAATTTTTTCAGCACACACCAACCCAGTGTGCTGGTGTTACCTGAAGTCGTAGGACATAAGGCAAATGACCTTGTTCATGCATTGGGACTGGCACCCAGATTCGGATAAGCCTGCTTGACCGCACACGGGGACATGGGGAAAAGGTGCTTTTTCAGGGGGTCCCCTCATTGCAAAGCGCCCTCCCCATGTTGAGGGCATGTGGCCTGGTATGGTGCAGGAGAGACAGGACGCATGCTCGTCCCCCCCACTTTCCTGCTCTGCCAGGCTGCTGCTTGGATCAAGGGTCTGGTACGGGATTTTAGGGGGGACCCCATGCTTTTTTTTTTGGTGTTGGGGTCCCCCCTAAAATACCTACCACACCTAAAGGGTCTGGTATGAATTGGAGGGGGGAACCTCACCCTTTTTTATTGTTTCTGTGGACTGTCAAAAGTTAAAAAGAAAAATGTCACTTTTTTTTAATGTCACTTTGCTGCCACGAAAATGTGTTCGTAATTGTCTATCGCATCCGAAAATGCAATGAAAATTGCTGATTAGTCCGAATCCAAATCACAAAATGAACTGACTTTCGGACTCAAATCCCGAAATAACGAAAAATCCGAAACGAAATGAACTGATTTTTTTTCCAGCTTATATGTCTAAGGTCTGGGACAGTAAATGAAGGGACATTTCCCCAATGGTACACTCTGCCCTAAAGAAAATGTATTTGGTTATTTATCATTTCAAAAAATAAAGAACAAAGGACATCGGGCAAATTCACTCATAAAATTTCACTAAAAAAAACATGGCTATCGGTTTTGTCCAGGAAAACAACAATCCGATAATCAGAAGATAGAGGATCTTCACTGCTGCTATATTAGAAAGTGGGAAGCACTTGTACCGTGTTTCTCCGAAAATAAGACACTGGCTCAAAAAAACACACTGGGTCTTATTTTCGGGGTAGGTCTTATTTCTTTTTAATGTATAACAATCCAAAGTTAATGCAAATCCAAATTAAATAATCCAAAATGGCAAAGTTAGGAATAGGGTGATCAGGGTAATTTAGGGGTGCCATACGTTTCCAAGAGCAATTTAGTTAACCAGAATGAGCGAAGCGCGCTATAGAGGAAACATCGGCTTATGCGGCTCTGCTCCCTGTGTTGCCGCCTCGCTTCCTCTAGCGCTGGCTTCGCTGGTACCGCTGATTCTCTCCCGCAGCTCTTCAAGTTCCCACTTATGCCACCACCGGCCCAGGGAATGGTCACAACCTGGTCTTATTTTCGGGGTGTGTCTTATATGTGAGCAATTCCCAAAAATTGTACCAGGTCTTAATTTTGGGGTAGGTCTTATTTTCGGGGAAACAGGGTAGTCGGTCTCTGGATACAGCGCAGGATGCCTGCCATGACCAGCGGACGGGCACTACTGCAGGAACTTGTTTCCTCCCAGCGCAGGGATCTTATAAACCGAGACCAGTCACAATTGAGAGCCTATGAGAGGATTGTCAAAGTGTAAATCCCAGAACCAGTTGCCTGACATTAGACCCAGCAGGGGCCACTGAAGCTTGTCTTGCTGCTGCAAGGATGCTACTCCATTCCATCCCGTGGTGGGTCTTTGTTGCTAAGATCTCTGTGCTAGGAGGAAACACGTTACCTTTTGTCATACAGATGCAGAGAGTGCCCTCTTGTCAATTGTAATAACCTTCGGTGAAGTTTAGTAGCTGTAGTCAAAGTATAATTGCATCTTCCATCTTTGTTCTTCTTCTTGACACTTGTGTTGTGCTTCTTCTACAAGGTTCCTGTATCAGTGGAAAACATACAGATGTACCCTTTAGCTAAACAACTAATGACAGGTTCATCTTGTGGAGAAATCTGGATTATCTGACACAAAATCACTGATGTCAAAGTAAGTTCTGAACCCCCCCATTGCCCCAGTGCAGCTGTATTTATGAACCATGTATATCTACCCCTTTAGCTTTATTCATTTTGTCTCAGGACGAGTCTGGAGCTGAGAGTTGGAGGTAATAGGCCCCTTGATGACTGACAGCTGTTGCTCTTCCAATTGCCTGGCCTCTTTTTGAAAACATGGTCGGTCTCCCAGCTTCTGGGGCCTCATGTGCACAGACGCATGGGGTTGTAGAACGTAAATTGCAGGCGTATTTTTGCACCCAGTATACACAGCTGTGTTATACAGCCACCCATAGTAGTGAAGGTGTGTAGCAGGCCCTACAACCGTTGAAGCTGCTACTTGTGTAAACCCACACATGCAAAAAGCCATCCAAACCTGGGTGCAGACTAGCTGTTTAAAGACAAGTAGCAGAGGTTCAATGGCTCTCATGCCATTGGCTCTGTTGAATGATGTACGTTCAAAAACTATGCACACACTGTGTCAAGTAGTAAATCAATCCACCACTGCTCAAGGAACACCTAGCTACCTCTGGAGGAGCACAAAGGTTCCACAGAAACCTAGTTGAATAGGTTGGCAAAGGATAATGATTGGGTTATAGAAATCAGGATCC